TATTATAATCAATTATTTAATTATCTAACCACTATAATTTTAAAATGGTAGTAAATTGATTATATTATCCCTAGATATTAAAACCCTTTTAACAAAAATTGAATTGACAACATTGCTCCTCACCTTTTTGGAGCGAAATCATATCACGTTTTTTTTGTACATTCTCACAGTGTGCACACATGTTGGATCATCAAGCATTCAAATACCCTAATCACATATACACTCTTCAAAACGCAAGGGTCGAACATCGCTATCCAATTGTCAACATTGAATCAACACTAGTGTATATATCGAGTCTCTCCTCTTGAATTATTAATTTTGTAAGTGTGGAAATAAAATTCTTCCTCTTCAAAATTGAAAGTGAAACTGAACCTGAATTTGAATGAAACAAGTGTAGGTTAAGAAAATGGTGGAATGAGACATGTTCGTGAGTGGAAGTGCGACATTAAATGCTTCGTTGGCTAAACGAAAGGTAAATATGATACTTTAATTTTAAGTTGGGCAAATATGATATTTTGTTGTTTGACAATGGTATATACGAAATTATCCGTTTACTTAATGATTGAACTTTAACATCTTGTAGGTCGTTATCACCGACTAACAATGTGGTTGGCTTAATTGCAGAAAGTCTTAAAGAAATATCAAAGGACTTGATTCAATGTATTAAATTTGACATGAAGATCAACGGGCTAAGTGATAAGATCCCTTCATGGATTTTAAATATGAATTCACCAAGCCAACTTGAGAAGTTCAAAGCTTTGACCAAGATAAGAAGTGATCCCATTAATGTATAATTTTTTGGGGGAATTGAAGAATGTGATAGAGAGGCTTGGGTCAAATACATTTTGGAAGGGTAATATTATCAAGTGGGATGTTTATTGGATGTTGATTGATATTTTGGATTTGTAATTTTTGGTATCTTCGATTGGGATGTATCGAAATATTTTAAGTTGCGTTTTTTTTATTTATTTGGTAACGTTATTGGGATATGTGTTGAGGAATGTGATAGATTGTTACGTTTTTTGGTAACGTTATTGGGTTGTGTATTGAAATGATCTTAAGTTTTGATGTTTTTTGCATGATTTTCACGTTATATTGACATGAATACTCAATCAATAAAGTGAAAATTTTCGATTTGTTGATAGAATGATTGTTATTGATAAGGTGGTTGTTGAAATGGGTATTGTTGAACCGGTGGTTGTGGAATTGGGTTTTATCGCAAGGGATTTTATTGAAAACTTGAAATGGTGGTTGCGTAAAACCTTGCAGTAAACTTGTGAAAGCATAATTTTGGGAAATAATAAAAAGTTGATTGTATTGCCCGTACCCTATAGGCGTTGTGTTTAGACGAAAAGGGTTTTTAGTATGTTTGTTTGTGTTTTGGTCGGATGGTATGTGTGTTTGGGATATGAGGAAGAAAGTTGGGATATGAAAAAGTAATATATTTAAATTGCCAGTGGTCGCCCTCACAAACGTCCCCATTTCTATCTATAAACTTTATTTTCCTTTTCTTTCAAAATGCCTTCTTTTGGTTCAAAGTGTTATGAGTTTTATGATGCTCACTTCTCCACGTAGAAAAGCAAACTAACCTTACATTTAGGAACTCTATATTTTTGCATGGTTACTATCATGAGAAACGGACCCCATATCCAACTAGTATCACTATAACAACTATTACCTTTCAATATGGTGAAGAAATACTTTTTGTTCTTCGAGATTGTTCATATCCTAAACTTGTTCATCGGTGGATAGAGAAGGATAAACGATTATTTGTTAGTATGTATGTGCTTAGAGTTTAGGTTATGCTATTTATATATCCCTATTTATATGAGGTTTAACCCTCATTATTAATTATGCAATCAGTTATCTACATGTTATCACAACCAGTGGCGGAGCTTGAACAATTAACTAGGGGGGGCCGAAAGTATTATAAATTGAAATTAACGTTCTTAAAAAAAACAAATTGTTTTCAACAAATAAACACCAAAAACACCTAGAAAAAGAATTACAACTCAGCCAATAACTCAAAATGAAGGAACAATTGATTCAATCAAAATCAAAATGAAGGAACAATTGATTATATCTATCATAAAATATCTATAAAAATCATTTCTTTTGTAAAAATAGTCTAAGGTTTTCATCTTTCCCATGATTATATCTATAAAAATCAAAATGAATGAACAATTGATTCAATCAAAATCAAAATTAGAACAATAACCAATAACTCATTTAACAATTAACTGTGAAAACTGAAAAGTGAAACCAAATCAAATTGACAGCCAAATCAATTTTATAAAAATAGTCTAAGGTTTTCATCCATCTTTGTTTTCAGTTTTGTTTGAAGCATAACAAAAAATAGTCTAAGGTTTTCAGTTTATAAAAATAATCAATTTTATAAAAATATTCCATACTTCCAGTTTGGTGTCTAGTGTCCAGTGTCCTACTATCCTAATTCCTACAGCTTACAATAAATAGACTAGAAGGTTAAACAAATCATAATTGAATACTGATAAGTGATAAATCAAATTGACAAATTGATAGGAGAAACTCTAACCCCTAATTTGGAGTTTGGACCGAGAGAAAAGAGGAGTCAGGAGAAACTCGCAAACAACAGCAACAGTGCAGCAGAACATTCAATCAGAACAAAGAACAAGTGAACCGGAAAAGAAAGAACAAGATTCGGGATTCCATACCTGATTTTTGGTGAATGACGCTTAGCGATGGGCGATGGCGAGAGTGAGAGTGTGAGACCAAGCGACTGAAGCGAGTGACTCAACAGGCCAACAACGACAGCAGGCAGCATCGATTCAGCGAACGGAATTGGGGAAGAACCGATTTTGATTTCTGGAGTCTGGACTATTTCTTGGAGAATTCGGACTATGTTTGCTGCTTGGAGTCTGATTCGGGAGGGGCCAAAGCCCAAGTTTGAAGATAACAGGCCTGTAATTAAATTTTTTGAAATATAATTCCTATTTCTAGCCCAAAAATCAGGGGGGGGCCACTACCCCTCCTGGCCCCATAGATACTTCGTCCCTGATCACAACTCTAGGTTAAAACCATACCTATGACCAGGGCCGGCCTACCTTTAAGTTTACTAAGCAAGGGCTTAGGGCCCTAGGTTCTAAGGGCCCCATTTAACCCAATTCAGCAGATCTCGATTCGCCGCTTCTCCATTCGCGCACGCCACAAAAATCACCAGCCAAGTGAGCAACTGTTCTTCTTCCTTCTCATTCTCTGATTCTCGATCTTGATTCTTGGCAGAAACCAGAAACCAGTATCGATTGAATATTGATCGTTCCTTGTTTAGTCTATTCTCGATTATTCTTCTTCCTCTGATTCTCCGTTGTTGATTGTTCAAAAATCAAAAGTCAAAACTAAAAACTTGAAGGTTTAACCCAACGCTCTCTTTTCATTATATTCGTCCACCGGGTATGAGCTACATAACCTTCTTCGTGTTTTCAGTTTCTATAGATGATTTTATTCCGCAAAATTTTCATTTTTATCATTTAAATGAGTCACAATGTGTTCCTACAAATGGGTCATTCCCAAAAGTCGATCTGATTGGGAAGGTATTGTTCTTGATTATGACTAAATCACTTGTCCCTCGTAAGTGTAAGTGTGCCTGGAAAAATCATTGGAAATTTGATGTTTTGCCTCTTGAATTTACTAGTGTAGAACAGTAAGGGACGTATGTAGTATGGTTTATTGAACCATTTTATTACCAAAAATGACTGATAAAGTAATGTGATTCAGTTACAATATATATTCTTTGGATGATTTTGTATATTTTGATAATTCTTTATTATCATCTTTTCATTTTTAGCTGTGAGTTGGTCTGAATTCCACTTGGGACACCATTTTAGGTTTGTTTTCATAAAGATTTGATAGCCGCTCAAGTACAAGAAATGAAAAATCTTCATCATCTAAAGGATTAACATGTTTGAACATTTTCTATGAACTTTTACATTCCCTCCAAAAACATTCTATCTGAATTGTGGGTGATACTTCGTTTCTAATAGCTGCAATAGATGACACATCCATTGATTAATGCATTAAAAGTCAAAAACTAAAAAGTTCAAGGATGTGAAGACTCAAGAAGACAAGAACTCACTTTCTCAAGGAAGTCAAAGGCAAAGCAAGTATTTCCATTAGTCCATAATCATGTATGAGATAAAATACGAATTAGGGCCCCAAATTTTTGGTTCGCTTAGAGCCCCCAAATTGGTTGAGCCGCCCCTGCTGATGACCACAACCCGTAGCCAGCGCCCTCCATCTTCGACGACCTTCTCTAGTAATCGTCGAAAGTGTCCTCCCTATCCATTTTTTCTCATCTCAATTCTAGATCTTCTCCTCCTAAAAAAAACCTCGCTCATATAAACAATCGTCATAGTCTCTGTTGTTGCCTTCTTTGCCTTCTCTGACGTTTGTCGGCGTCGACTTTGTTAGAGCATCAGCTCTTCCCCGCCATCGTTGCATCTAGTTCTAACCACTAAAGTCGTCGCCATTGTCGTTGCCTCAAGATCTAGTCGTCGTCGTCGTTATCGCCGATGCGTCCAATTCTTGATCTCCGTCGACCTCCCTCTTCTACCTTTTATCTTCATCTATATTTTATGTTTTATGTTTTTTTGTTTTTCGAATTCAATCGATCAAACTGTGTGTGTGTGGGGGGTGGGGTTGGGGGATGTTAGCGTTTAGGTTATGCTATTTCTATATCCCTATTATATGAGGTTTGACCCTCACTATTAATCAAACAATACATTATCTTACACTATCAGCTTTGGATACTCGTGTTATATCCATAATAACATAAACAAAGTACATTAATAGTACAAATATTATTCTTAGTTGAGTAAATTACAAATGAAACAAACAATTCCACATGGACGTCAAGCAATCATATAGCATCTTCATATGTTTTTTAATAATATATAGTGAAAAAAAAAACATAGATGGCCAAATGACGTTTATTCTTCGAAATTATATAGATAAGCATTTAAGATTTAGTTTGATTTGGCGAGGTGATGGTTCTCAATATCTTTGGTGATACGAAGGCATAAATCCATCAAACTATTAGGATCATCAACACTCTCATTAAGCTTCTCATAGTGGAAAGTCCACGTCACAAGGTTCTCTTCTCCCTTGGTGTCCACATGAATTGTAACTAAGAAGCTTTTGTAAGCCTCCAATATCTCACCCCCTATCACCTTATAACGCACTAACTTTTTCTCTTTGTCAATTTCTTCGATTACCTGTTTAGCCACTTTTTCCTTCCCGTCTGCCAAATACATTATAATTTATAAATACTTACAGTTTGGAATATGAAAAATATGATATATTTTTCCAAACTGGTGTAAAGAATTAAGCTTACCATGTGTAAAATTCCAGACAGAAATGGATCCAACAATACCCCATTCACCATCATGCAGATCAACACCTTTTATGAAATCGGGTGTCATTTCAGATATATGGTATGGTCTGTTTCCAAATAGGTCATGGAAAACATCTCCATGTGTAAAATAGCCATGTTTGAGTTTCTTTCCAAATATAGGAAATAAGAGAATGATGAAAAAGGTTCGAGCACCTTCTAACTTTATATAGAGCATAAAAGTTTAGTCACTACACTTTCATCCAAATTCTTTCAAACTTCCATAAATTGCATAATTTCCACATTCTCATCCTATAAAAGGTGTTTCTTGAGGATACGGTGTAATTAACTTTTTCACAAATATATATACACCATACGAATATATATACACATATATTTCTAAATTTATATGTGGCATTTGGCCAAATGGTATACGTGATGTGGAGCCTCGCAACTACTTTTAGGTGATGAGTTTAAGTCTCTTTAGATTGTTGCTTTTGGCACTTGGATAAACGTTCAACTACTTCATTCCATGCTGCAATAACAAAACAGCTTAAATGAAAGAAAGTTGCAGTAGTAAATGTTAAAAAGGTAGATAGATAGATACCTGGTAACTTTTTATAATCAGGATCAATTCCATTTCCATTTATGTCCAAATGATTTGGTGTGACATATTTCCCAACAGTCACCACTACCCCCGATCCATCATGAAGTTCAAATACAGACTGAATCAAACCCTACAATAATAATCAAGAAAGTTATCCAGATTAATTAATGAATAAAAAGAACCCACAATAACATTTCATTTTTTTAATTGATAAGAATGTTATACAGACCTTTCCATAGGTCTTTTCACCAACAAGAATGGCTCTACAGTTGTCATGAAGTGCAGTAGCAACCTATTCAAACTATCACTCATTAGACTCTTATCACTACTTTAATGAAAGAAATTTGAACATATAATATGGTAATATTAGTGCTCACTATTTCACTTGCACTAGCAGTATTTTTGTTCACCAAAACCTGCAATAAAAGAACATAAATCAACAATTCCAAGTTTATAAATAATGTTTATTAAAGTAGGTAAAACTTACAATGACAGGAGTTGTAATAAGAGGCACTGTTTCAGCTACTATACTTTTTACATTCTGAGTTTCTCTTCCAGCAGTATATATTACTGTCTCCCCTTCATTTAGAAACAATTTAGCTATTTCAATACCCTCCTGAAAGAAGAAATTAACAATACAATCAGATTCAGATCATTTACAAACAAAAATTGATCAGATTTATGCAAGTTTACCTGTACTAATCCACCAAGATTATCTCTAAGATCAAGAATAAAGAATGAGGCACCCATCCCTTGAAGTCTCTTCATTGCTGTCAATATTTCCTCTTCAAGTTAGTTTCTCAAAAAAAAAAAAAAAAGTGAAAATTGAATCTATCTGTTGATTGTTGATTGTTGATTATACCTGTAACCAAATCCTTTCTAGCAAGTGCATTAAACTCTTTCAGACGCATGTATCCAACTGAAGTCTTGCCATTATCCATTTGTTCCAATCGATAAAAAACAGGGGTTTTAGCAACAAGTTGCCTCTGGACATCTACAGACTGTATTGGACCACAATTTCCATGTTTGACCTAAAAATCATAAACATTTATCACAAACAGTATATGATATAGTAGAATAATGCATGAGTTTACTTACTTACCGTGATGTTTACAGATGTGTCACTTGGACCTTGCAAGATTGATAAAGCTTCAAATGCTGATTTGCCCTTTAAGTCTACTCCATTGACAGATAATAGTTCATCTCCTTGTCTAACACCAGCTGCATGGGCAGGGCCATCTAAAATGAGCCCTAAAACCTTGAGTTTTACTTCACCGTTTTCATCTGGGATTTCCCTGAGGTTGACTCCGATTCCAGACATGTCATACCTTGCCATCTTTGAGAACTTTGAAGATTGAGGAAAGGAACAAATGCCATGGAATAAGACACTGGAAACGTTTGTAAGTGGAAACAACAATTATACAAGCCATCGGTGGATTGTTTATGCAAAATGAGTAATCTAATAGAAAGCGAAGAAGAAGGTTTGTGAGAATGAAATATCAAATACCTCTGAAGGAGATAGAAAACGTGTATAAGGGTCGCCTAAGGTAGATAACATCCTGCGGATTACATCGTGAGCTTTAGATCTTGTTTGGAGCGATGTCCCAATAATGTCTTCCTTCTTTTGCTATAAGAGAAACATAACATTAAAGAGATTTTTCAAATAAACACGAAGACACGTTGAGGAAGTGAAAGAGAGGGATAAGATACATACAAGCCAAGCTTCAGGTGACCATCGATTTCGACCAGTGTCAAGAAAGCTATCATTAACAATCTGCCAAGCCTCCTTCACAATCTCTTCATTTGTGACCAATTCAGGAGCCCTTTCGAGCCTTCTCTCCTCTTCAATTCGCTGATCTTCTTCGCGACATTCCAATTGAGAACCTGAAGAAGTAAAATCCGAAGCGATTGAAGGTGGAGGAAGTGGAGAGAGAGGCGAGAAGAAGAGGAGGTTGAAAGAGAGCGCGGCTCCAGTTAATGAACGGATGAAAGACGGGTTTTGAGGAGTGGCGAGAAGGGGTTTTTGAGGACGGCGAGCAGTGGGCGCTGGCGGTGGTGGAAAGAGGGAAGAAGACGATGAATTACAGAGGAAGACCCTCATCTTCTTCACTCTTTGCTGTGTGAGAGGGAACGAGAAGGATACGGATTCTGCTTTTGTTCGTGGGTTATTTTCATAAAAGACCCTATATTTTGATTTTTTTTCTTTTTAGACCTAAAACGTTTTTCTTTTCCGAAAAAGACCTAACTTTTAGCTTTGACTTGTTATTTTAGACCCTAACAAGTAAATTAAGT